TCTAAAACTTGGAAGCTACAGGAGGTAGATCGAAAGATCTAGCAGGATGGCTAGATAGTATCTACGGTAGCAAATCACAAGGCTGGAATGAGCAGCAGATCTTGGAGTTTCAGGGTTTACAACAGCTAGTGGAACTAGTTTGAAATTGAACTGTAACCCACATTGGTTATAGTAGAGGTAATTGGCTTGGTTCCGGAGTTTTTACCCAATTGGGGTTTCTCCGTCATCATATTGATGTTATTTATTGCTTTCCATATTACAAATTGTGGCAATTCAACTTAGGATAATTGAACTGTTTGTTTAACCATCTAGAAACAATTAAAAATGACTTGTTGCTTTTGATTGATTAATTCTGCACGTGTGGTCAAAATTAAAAACGGATAATTAATAACTATTCGTTAACTTAGTTAGCGAACCGTGTTTTTCAGCATCCATGTTCCTAAATTTCAAGTATCTATATCATTTAATTGTAAATCATTTTTGGCTGAATTTAACCAGAAAAATGCTAAACCAACAGGGTGGATGTGAAGCAAAATTGATTTAGCCAAAAGCAGGCAGATTCAATTTTGTTCTTATTTCCCTCTCTTCCAAATTCCAAATGCACTACACTACAGAATTAATAAAAATAAAAAATAAAATCAAGAATTTTTGTGGGGTCACTTGACCCCACATGACCCCATACCATCCATGGCTACTGAAAGAAGACCAGACCCTTCCTCATTGGTTTGTGCTCAGTTGGGACTCGAGTTGACTGTATTGAAAAGCGATTGTCCTCTTTATGACACCATGACTGGTGAGAAAGTTCGTACACATCTGGATGAAGCCTTGGAAGCTGAATATAATAGCCTACTTGATGACATGGTAGTGCTAGTTGCCGAAAAAGGGGAATATACAATGAGAATAATGAAGTTATTGAGGCTCAAGGTTCTAAATCAGAGATTTTGAGTCCTCTTGGATTGGCATCTTTCCAACTTAAAGTCCGGTTGCTCTGCTTTGCTTAAACGAAGTATCACCTTCCTTATTGGAATCAGGATAATGATTACGGAGGGTTTGGTGGAGCTCATTGTTTGAATAAAGAGGGTTACAGTGATGTTGTTGAATCTCTAGGAGAACTTAGCATCCACTTGAACAACGTCGTCACAAATATTTCATATTGCACAAAGGATTGCAGTAGTAGTAATGAACTGAGTAACAAGGTTAAAATTTCAACATCAAATGGCAAGGAGCTTCTCGGAGATGCTGTCCTAGTCGCTGTGCCACTTGGCTGTCTACAAGCAGAAACTCTAGTGTGTGTGTGTGTGCACAAAAGAGCATGGCAACAAAAGAAATAGCATTTCAAGACAACTAGTCAGCTGCTTTACTATCTACCAGGGATCTTAACAGCCTGCATTTTCTTCTTCTTAAGACCAGATTTGGCAACCTTAAGGCTTCTATTCACAACACTTAACCTTGCAAGAGCTGCTTTCTTTAGATCAAGCCTGTAATAGTTATCAGCTACCTACATGTAAAAAAGTTTCAACCACCATCACTCTCAAGTCAATTGGAATAGTTAACTAGCTGTTGACACACTAAAAGTACAGC